AGTACCTCTAGATTCTCCTTTATTTTTCTTGCTCACTCACATTATGATTCTAAAAAGAACACATCTTCTAAAGACTGCCAGAATAGTAGCTCTTGTTCCACACCCTCCTCTGAAATGTTATCCTGCCAAGAATCTCTTTAAGACATGGAGTCCTACTGTCCCATTCTTTAATCCTGCTTGGCCCTAGTGATTGGTGTGCAGCCAGGAGAATATGACAGTTTTGATGTGAAGCAAGTTCTGCATGTAGGCCAACTTGTATCTTCTGCATAGCTTTCTTGAAATACATTTTCTAGGAGACCCTTGATCGAATATAAGAAGTCTAACTATTCAGAGAACACCATGGTTGTAAGGACACATTTACATACTCAGTTCAACGGTCCAAGATGAAATCATCCTTCAGAGATCCAAGATTCAGTACCAACCATGTGAACAAGATCATATTTGCTCTAGCCCAGCTCTGTTCAATGTGAGCACATGCTGCAAGACAACTAGCTATGAGTATGGCCCAACACAAAATGGTGAACATTAACATTTTTTGTATGCATGTTATTTAGGATTTATTTTTTCTGATCAAATTCAACTTCTTCACCCAGTTACTTGTGGCTGGGGGTTTAAAAGTCCAGCATTCTTGCTCATTCATTAATTTATTAAAATCATGAACACTAACATCAATAGAAGCCACAGAGGAAAACTTCCACATGCAGGCTCCCATGCCTTCATCAGCCCACTGAATGGTTCTGTCCTGGTATTGTTTCTTTCCTTTTCTATAGACTGGTTATGGCCTTATATAAAGCCAGTGACTTGCCTGTGATCTAGAGGCAGAACCTTCTCTCCTCTTTTTGTAATTTCCTCTTTTCTTTCTGTTTTACTCTGAAATTTTTCTTATTTTGACCATCTCCTACCACACATAAACATTCTTGCTTTCCATTTAAAGCAAATAATGCAAAAGTAGTTGGTAGTGTTCTTACTCACTGTCTTTCTTTTGCCCACCTCGCTGAACATCTTTAAATGACCCTTTCACCCTCACCATTCCCCAAAGCAGTTCTTGTTAAAGTAATCCCTGGCCTTCAGATTCATGAATCAGAGGCCACTTCCACTTCTCAGTTCTCATGGGACATAAGGTACTAGAAGCTTTTACATCACTGGTATCTTGCTCCTCGTAAGCATCTTTACTTTGCTTCCAGCACACTATTCTTTTTGGTTTGCAGGCTTTTCTTCCTTGTCAAATGATTTTTATTGTTCATTTCTCTGGATCAACCTATCTTTTCAGTCTTAAATATTGACTATTCCAGGCTGGAGCCAAAGGCATTTGCTTTGGTCTATAATCATCTGTCTAGTTGATCTTAGCAGATTTTCAAACTATTTAATATTACTAATGCCACGAGAAGTGACTAATATCTCCAGCTTCAACTTCCAAATATGATCTCTGAACCCGAATTCCACACAGTCTTGTATATTTAGTCCAATCCACATTTCTAAAGTTGGATGCCTAATGGATATATCTGGCTTAACAGATACAAAAGTAACCTTTTGATTACTTTAACCTTAACATGTGACTCATTTTTCCAAGACCTTCTTAGTAGTCAGTGGCAACTGCAGTCTATTAATTATTCACTCTGCTAACCTTGGGGTTACCCTTGATATCTCTTTCTCCTATAGGGTATATGCAGTCGTCAGCAAATCCTATCTATTGACTTTTGGGTACCCTATTCTGAGTTGAATCCATTTTTACCACTGTCACTGCTCTGATGCTGTTACGTTATCACGTACCCCAGGATGGTTTTGTGATCACTTTTTGCCTTATTCTTGCTCTTTTGCAGACTGATTTACACAACACTATTAAAGACTCTTTAAACAAGGGTATCAGAACATACCTTCTTGTCTCAAAGTGGTTCATATAGTATTCTATTTCACCCAGATAAAAATTTGAAGTATTACCTGCTCAGTGCCCCATAGAATCTTTCTAGCCCTTCTCTTTAGTTGGCTGCTCATTCTACTCCATCCATCCACTTATTCTTGTCCTCAGTTCCTCTTCTCATTTCCAAAAGCTTTTTGCTATATTTCTAGGTGGCTCTTTCTTAACATTCCTCCATCAGAATAGTATATAGGCAAGTCTGTGGGGGCATTTTTAAATAAATGATTAATGTAGGAGAACCCAATCAACCCCTGTGGAGCTGTCCTTAGGTAGGTGGTCCTGGGAAGTGTAAGAATGGCAGCTGAATGTTAAGCCCTGAGAGCAAGTGAATAAGCAGCATTGTTCCATGGCCTCTGCTACAGTTCCTCCTTCTAGGTTCCTGCCTTGACTTCTCATGATGGAATATGATGTAAAAACATAAGTCAAATAAACTCATACATCCCCAAGTTGCTTTTGGTCATGCTTTATCACAGCAACAGAAAGCTAACTAGGACAGAAATAGAGGTTTCCAAGAAGTGTTGGGCTTCCTCCTGTATACTACTGATTTTAGATGATGGATGTAGCAGCCTCGAAATTTCATAAACACAATTCACCAGAGGGTTTGCATCAACCAACATCATGCATGCCACTGGCAAATATGTATTTGACAAACAGAATTTATTTATATTTAACATCACATTGTTCTTCAGCACCTCCATAGCTATGTGTTTTCTGTGAATCATAGCTTTGCTTATCTGATGCTCTGTATGCAAGGGTGTGATATTTCCTATCAGTAAGTTAGTTTCTATCTCTGTCTCTTTGTCTCCGTCTCTCTCTGTCTTTGTCTCTCTCTCTTTCAGGTTAGAGGTTGGAAGTTAATATAAGCCCTGCAATTTGAAAAAAAAATGACAAAATTCTACCTTCAATGAATGAGGAAATGAATAGTTCTGTGGCATCTTCAGACTGAATACTGAGTAGCCTCAATTATTCATTTTCAATGTGAAGAACCAGAGCAAACTGATATTACTGAGTGTTCAGTATCACACAGCGTAAGCAGAAAACTGGGGTGAAAACAGACTCTTGATGTTGATGGAGCAGGATTTTTAAACATGTGCTTGTGGGTCTTTAACTGCTATGCCTTCAGAGCACAGCAGACACTTTCCTCTTAGAACTGCAGGGGCACTGAGAATGCACACTGAACTGTCTTCTTAAGTCTATGCCCACAGTGTCCAGAGTTGATTTGTGGTTCTAAAGGTCAGTGGATAGGCACAGAGTGCATGCTGTGCATGTAGACTTCTCTATCACTACTGTTTTTAGTGTTCTTGGTATTAGGGATGAAAATACCACTTTGCCCTTGTAGGCTTGGCATTACAATCTGGCATTAGTATAGGGTTGTTTTTTTTTAACCTTATTTGTATAGAATGTATAATTCTTTCCTTTTCTGAAAAGTATCTTTCTATTTCATGATTAGGATGCTACTGGTTTTGACCAGGCTTGAGCAAGCCGTGACTTACTTGGGAGTCTTACTGTGATTCTTAGAAATCTTGTGTCAGTTTTCAAATCAAGAAGAGACTGGAATATTCAGAAGAAAATAAAATATATAAATGATTCAGTCTTGGACTCATATTTATCACTGATGGCAAAATATTTTACATGGTTTTTTGGAAAGGGTGTTTTTATTAGTTGATGAATATGCATTTGTCATGATATGCAAAATCCTGAAGACTCAATTTCATGAAGCCAAGGGCTGTTTCCTTATCATTGTGGAATTCATTGCCCTTTCATACAATGTAGCCCACTAACACTTGTAGCTATTTGTTGAGTGTTTACTTTCAACTAGTATCTTTCATTGTATTCTCTCAAAATAAAAAGCAATCATTTGAAGAGCTTCCCTTAGTATTTTATGAAAGAAGTGGATGCTGAAGTTGGATTCCCAATACAGACATCTGACCTCAGCTTGTACAATTTGTGTGCCCTTCATGCATTTACAAATATGCTTGTGAAGGT